CGGTCTGCTCATTGATTGGTGTGCAGATCAGTTCTAATAACTATGGCTAGAAATTGCCCCATTTTTAGAAGCTATTTGTGATAATTAATAAAGCAATGATTAGCTATATATAGCCTATATATAGAGAAACAATCATGGTTGTACATTGCAATGCATAGCTACACTTTAATAATAAGAAATTTAAAGTAAGCTTGATGTATGATACTTCCATTCCTTCAACCTAGCTTATCGTCAACACTCCTCCATGCTTCTCCACATACTCTATTATTTATGGTAGCCCAACAACACTTTACCCTCTTGAATATTGTAATTTAACTAGTACTTGTGCCAGTGGCATGGTTTTAAAAACCGGATCGAACCGACTGGGAGACTGGTTGGATCACCGACCAGTCCTCTTTTTGGTTTGGTTTTCATAAAAAACTAGGACAGTGTAAAAAAATTGCTTAATTTCTACAAAAACCGCTTAAACTGTCGGTTCGACCGCTTGAACCGGTAAACCGGTTGCAATTTTCATAAATCAGATGGTTTGTGCTTTCTTTTTTCTTTTTTTAATTTACCCTAAAAATATTAAAATTTCTCTCCTCTCTCTTTCTTCAACAACAACAGCCGATTGAGAGAGGTGAAATCCCTAAGTTAAACCTTTCTTTCCCTATCGCTGCCGTGGACAAAGCCCTGTCATTGCTTTGCTGTCGAGGTCGTGACTTTTAACACAATGACGCATTGTCAATCAGAGCTAGGTGCTCTCTCTTCAAATTGACTAGTTCATTCTCTTCAAATAGACCAAGGTTTTCTTCAAACAGACCAACTAGTTCCTTATACTAAGTCCTCTTCAACTTCCCCTTTTATGCCGATATTTCCAGTCCAAGCTCATCTTTGCCAGCACCCAAAACTCCAACTCAGACTTGGCACACTTCTCCGCAACGACAACTATCAGTAGTCAACACAAGTCTTAAAGATCCATCCTTGTTCCCGACAAGCAATACTGGAAGGACAACAACTGGAACCATTGCCGACGACGCAGAGGGAGAACGACGACTGGGCCGCCACCAACGACGCAGATGGCGATTCGATCCGACAGCCCGGTTGACTCCATCGTGCAATCGATCGGTGAGCCGGCTGGATCTAGGTTTTTTGTTTTTTTAAACCATATAAGAAAGGAATTTTTAGTAAATTTAAATTTTTATCCTACTTTTCAAAAATTTTATCCCATTGTTATGTGTTTGAACGAACATGTAATAAAAAACATTCAATTCAGATAAATTTATCCAATTTTATTCTATCACACTACATGTTATCCCCCATCCGAACGCTTCTTAAGTGAGAAACTCACAAAGTAAAGACTGCTTATGAGGACATTAAGAAAGAGGAATATGGTGGGTATGAAGCGCATCTATGTTCAAGTTTCCCTTTCTTCCTTTTTTTTTTTTTTTTTTTGATCATAAAGAGATCAACCAACTTATAGGGGATCTTGTGATGAAGTTTGAGCACCTTTTGTCTAGGCAACTCTTTCAACTTGAAGGTTCTCCAGCTGCTGATCAATAGTTGCAGGGACGAGATGTGGATGGGTTTGCAATATTTGCCCCAGTAGCTTGCCAACTGGGGAATTGAATTGAAGAGGAGCAACTGGAGTTGAATCACCCCCGAACTGCCCAAGCCTTTCACAATTAATCCTCTTGCTCGGGACTTCTGCATCCTCTTTTTAGATTCAGAATGGTACATGAAGGACTGCCCAGGACGACAAAATAGATAGTAAGAAATATAGAAAGGTAAAGGGTTGATATGGAGATTAATAAACATAGAAATTTATCTTTGTTTCTAAGGCTTTAGGCCTCAAAATTAACAGAATCTAATTGAATAAGAATTCTGCTCAGAAAAGGGGAAAAAAATGAATAAGGATCTTACAATTTAATTCAATATTACCCGTAAGCCATTGATTCTACAGGCTGAATTTTGTTGCCATAACTTTCAAAGAAAATGCAATTTATGCAATTCGATATGCTCAGGCTATTAAAGATAGTAAGCAAATAAATGGAAGAAGAAAATAAAGAAGAAACCTTAAAAATTTTTTCCTACTTCACTATAATATTCAGAATATTATGGTCTATCTATTTCCCATGGATAAGTTTTACTCCATTTATTTCAGATACACAATTTGATCATTAGTTCATAAAATTAGGATTTTCATAGGCGTCTCGAGCACTTAATCCAATTTCAATGCACTGTCCAACAAATCGCAAGTTAATTATTTAAAAATGACGTAAGAAGAGCATGCGTCCCCATAATTCTTGAAGTTTTACCATTAAATAACAGAATCCTCATTGACGCAGACACACACGAGTATAAAATTCGCATATATGTTCTCTGGAGAAAAAGGTAGGGTTCACCTTGAGCAAACCGGATGCAAAGAACACCTTTGAATCGCTGAATAAGTAGGAATTCGTACTTGATTCCTGCGACCCGAGGCCACCGGCCGACGGTAGTAGAGTCACCAGTGCGTCGGTGACGACTCCAAGAATGGGCATGCCTGGTCTCGAAAAATCTCAGACAACAAGGATTTCACTATCTGAATGCTCCAAAATCACAGCGAGAGAAAAAGATTACAAGGAAACAGGACTTTCACCAGAACTCCAGAGGGGGGAGAGTCGACAGGCAAGAGGAAAGTGGTGGTAAATTTCTATCAATATATTTTTCTTTTAGAAAAGTAGATATTTATATTTTCTCCTCAAAAATTAAAATGACTATTTTTTTTATAAACTAAAAGCAATTAATTTTCTCATAATCCATGTATACATAGCACGTACATCAATTATCAATTACTACTAAAATATTAAATCTTACATTATTAATTTACTCAAAATCAATAAATAAAATATAATTAATATTTTAAAAAAATAATTGTAAATAAATATATTAAAAATAGTTATTATTAATTTTATTATTAGATTTAACTAAATTAATTGTGTAAAAATTTGTATAAATTAATTCTTTTAATATATATATATGTATATATGTATAAAATAAAATGCATGAATGATGTGATATTTTTATCATATAACAATTTTATATATATTTTATATATTTTTTATTTATGTTTAATATAATTATAAAACCTGATATTCATCTTATTTAATATTCTGTGCAAAATTAAAATTTCAATATTAATTCACTCTCCGTTAGAGTTATCCAACAAACCAAAATAAAAAATAATAAATTCGATTTTCTTTTCATTCTTTCTAAACTTAAATAGCCGAATAAATTCAGATAAAATTAATACAAATATTGCCATCTTTTTTCAAGGCCACATGCCCAATAGATTTAAGAAAAGTTCTGACCAAAAACTTCAAAGGAGGTGTTTGCTAATAGATTTTCTTTTAAATTTTAGAGTTTTTATGGTAACTTTTTATATAATTTAATTTCTACATGGAAAATTTTCAAAATTAAATTTCTTGTCAAATTAAGAAACTGATTTTCCCCCATAAAACCAATGTCCAAAATCAACTTTCATCCTCTTAACCAAAAAAATGACTTGTTTTCCATAAAAACGCAAATGCCCGTCCAATACCAAAAGTAGTTAACCCTACTTGCTAAGATCGTAAGTTGTGCGGGAGTAATTTTCACCGTCTCTCCCAGAAGATCCAAATTGAATTAGAATCTAATAATTCTGTAAACAACTCTTTGTTGATCCATAGCTTGATTTCCATAAAATTCTCCCTTCCGCACTCCGTAGTTGATCCATAGCTTGAATTTTCTCCTTGATAACATCCAGCGTTACACCCAAAAACAGTTCTTGAAACAGTCTGCCCAATGAGCTTTCTGTTCTCAAAAAATTTAAAAGAAAGAACAGAGTCTTCTAAGACAAATCCAAACAGTAACCAGTCTTGAAAAGAAACTCAGAAGAATATTAAAAATTCCAAACTGGAGCCACATTTGCAAACAAATATTGTTGTCACAAGCACACAAACAAAGATCCAGAGAGAAATGCTAACAAAATCACACAGCAGCATTAAAAAAAAAATGGAAGAAAGCACAGGTAACCAAGTTTATTAATTCCCTGGGTATATGGCATTAAATTAAACATATTACTGATACAATTTAGAAGTACACGGGGATTGTTACTTCACTTCTTAGCGAAATATAGGTCTCCACAAAGATTTTCAGCACTACAGGGGGTCTTCGACCTTAAAAGACGGCTGAGCCAAGCATGATTATATATAAATAGATTCTGAGACTAAACAGGTCAGGTGAACGAATTTTTTTTAACTACACTGTAAAATAAGATAAGGTGTCTTGCTTCTAATTGGTTAGCATTATCCCCTAGAAAACATTCTGCTACTAGGCAGCTGGCACTTCATTGAGTCATCGACCACTATGCACTGCCTCTTTTGCCACAGCTTGTCGTGCTTTGTTGCCAACATTTTGGTCGTTCTTTGCATTTTCTTGCACAGGAGCCTCCCCAAGTCTCTCCTGCAGCAAAAACAAAGGTTTTTGAATCATAACAGAAAAAAAGCAGCATCAATATTAGTATTTCGGTAGTCATTTCTTCATTGCTGGTTGATAGATAGAAAAGAGGCAGAAAAATGTGATTGGTCTATTCTAGAATCTATAATTAAGTTATATAATAAGAATACATTTCTTTTTCAACCAAATATTAATAGACAAGAGGCAATTGTATCCTCTTGGATCAATTCCACATGATTTCTTTGATCTGTGCTCATTATTTGTACAGGGGCACAAAGAAAACAGTCAATGCCAATATAAGAACTGCTCTATTTAGACTTTCCACAAAATTTTTGGCCAAACAAAACCTTGACTTGTGATGTAGAGACAAATTGAGAGGAGGGGGAAAATACATATATGTAATAACACCATAGAACAAAAAGATAGTGTTTTTGTGATGTTAATACACACTATTTCATATAGAACAGAGGCGGTAATGCATTCTTCAAGAGTCTGAAAGTGTCATTAGGAAAACCGAAACACTGACATCACCTTCAGAGAAGCATTCTGCTCAAGAAGCTGTTCATACTCGCTCCTGATTCGACTCACTTCTGATCTAAGATTAGCATTTTCTTCTTTTCAAAGCTTCAGCACGTTGGGCCAGCTCATCACACTCCGCTGAATCATAACGTGCACCAGCATAATGAAATCAGAGAGTTTGTAAGGTCATAGTAAGTAAGAGAAAAACCAAAAGGAATGCCAGTTACCTGCTTCCGCAACCTGGATCGACGGGCAGATTCCCTGTTAGACTGCTTCCTTCGCTGTCTTTTAAGCTCTCTTTCATCCTGTCTCAAGAAGAAAAGGTGAATAACCAGAATGCTCGTCATAACACTAGAAAAATAAGTATCAAAATTTTCATCTTCTGAGAGAAGAAGTATGTTAATACATTTATCATAAAAGCAAAGGCAAATCAGCACATCAGTCAATCATGATACTTTTCCAGGAATTTTAGGAAATCCATACCATGAAATGCATTGGAAAAAGATAAGCTCCTAGAGGACCTCCACCAAGAAACAACTAGTTTTAAAATGATTATTTATTGTCCCTTTTATCTTGCCTAGTGAGAATTAGTTGAAAAATGTACACGCAATACTGATTAATTGAAAGGTTAATAAGATATATGCATAGCAAGCTATGAACAGTACCACACCAATACATGGTATTGGTTCAAATAACATAAAAAAGGTTCTAAAAGAGATAAATTGCGTACATATCACAAGATTTAAATAACAACTAACCTCATTAAGAACCTTAAATGTTTAAGCATCATTTAACCACAATACGTTAACCTTGAAACAAACTTGACTTATTATTCTTAAATCAAATACTTATCTACATCGCATTGGCACAAATTATTTCAGCTCTTCAGCAATTTTAGGGGGTGTTTGGTTTGCGAAAATGTTTCCCCTTTTCTTTTCTATTTCTTTTTTTGAAAAGTAGTTTTCATTTCAAAATTTTCAAATTTAAAAAACATGTTTGGTAAGATTTGCCATTTTCTATTTTCAAAAAATGAAAACAAGAAAACATGCTTGGTTAATTTATTTTTAATAAATTGAAAATGAGGACTTAATTGAATGAAATTAAAATTTTAGGGTTTTTAATAGGGGATTTAATTGAATAAATTAAAAATTATGGAATTTAAAACAAAATCTGAAGAGTATAGGGACCACATTGAAGATAGAAGAAGATTTGGGGGCCAAAATGAAATTTCGTTAAATAGGTTGTCTCCTACCTCTACCGGGTCACAATCGGGTCCAACAGACCCGACCACGACCCGAGTTCAATTTCGCCGCTATGTAGACTTTTTTCAAGTAATTTCCTCACTGATTTTGTATGTGTCATCCCAATAGCAAAAGGTCTCAATCAATTTGAAGAAATTTCAACTTTAAAGGCTGAAATTTGAAGATCGACCTCCGATAGCATTGCAACTCTGCTGCCAACAGAGGCGAGGAAGTCGGCCCTTGCCAGCAAGGGTGATTGACACAATTAGCCTCTTTGTTTGAGTTTGGTGATAGACACTGACCAGCAAAGAGGATGAGGCAAAAATGAGAAGTCAAGAGGTGTTCAGATCTACAATGGTCGGTGCACACAGACGAGAGAGATGAGAGAAGTGAGGGAGGTGGCATTACGGCGTTCAGCTCTTGTACAGACAAGAGACGAGAGAGACGAGAGAGCCGACATTGCAGTGGGTCGCTTTTTGCACTGTAGCAAAACAGATCCAAGCGAGAGGGACGGAGGCGAGCACAATAGCAGGGAAATATTAGATACAAAAAAGACACTGAAATGAAGGAAATTACACCCATGCCACTGCATTTTCAATTTTTATAGAAAACAGAGAAAACGACTTTTTATCGTTTTCTCTTTTCTATTAAATTTTAGAAAATGTTTTCTAATAATGAAAATGAAAACGCCACACCAAACACGTTTTCAGACCCATTTTCTGTTTTTATTGAAAATGAAAACAGAAAAACAGGCCAACCAAACGCCCCTTTAAATAGGCACTATGTGTTGCAGATACTTGTATCTTAATTCAATAATATCATAGTAACAATACTTTTCCAAAGAAAAATAAGAAAACTTGCCTCGTCACCAAATTTTACTTGATAAGAGAAACAAAAATTCATCATCAAGAAAATTCCTTGCAGAAAGGTCCATATGTAAAATGATTTTTGGTTACTCTGAAAAGTATCAAACAACCTTTTTCTTACACAGATGACAATGGAAGCAAAACACTCCAAAAACCCGATTATATATTGAAAATTTCATCTAGAAGGCCCTTGCATGAAGGCAATGCCAACTATGGAATAAATTCAACAAGGCAACAAGTAAGGAAACTCAGTAAAAGTAATCAACAAATGAAAAGCAATAGAGGATGGAGCTACAGCTCGTGTTACTAGCTCAGAGTGGAAGGATTAGTGGTTCTATTATCTCACATGCATAGTTGCCCATGTATTCGAAGCATCAAGCCCAAGCTTCACAAGACGGCAACCATTCAAAGATATATTTGCTTTTTCACATAGCTGGAGAACCGCAAGCAGCTCATCCCTGTTTGGTCCACTGGCTTTTGGGTCTCATGCAGTCAGCTTTTAAGCCAAAAGGCCCAGAAGCAAGTATATTGTAGCTTTTCAGCTTACGGCCTTCTGGTCCTAGAAGTCTAGAAGCTAAAACAAAACTTTTTGGCTTTTTGGGCTTAAGCCCAAAAGGCCAAGCAAAAGTTCATCTAGTCATCCACAGCCAAGGAAAAATACCACTGGATTGCACAGAAAGAATACACAATATATCATGACAATCTCAGCATTGAGACTTCTAATGTAAACAAGATTATCAGTGTAAATGTACAAACTAATTCAGCTGGTGCGCTGTTGCTAGTTCTCATCCACATAAGTAGTCAGGTGGCTTCACTAATTTAATGGAGAGAACTAAATTACCCAAGCAAAGCAAAATTCCCAAAAACTAAATGCAAAGTTATCAACATCCTCATTGACACTAACAGTACATCCATTGCTGTAGAAATACCAGCAAGCCTCCAGTTGTAGTGATGAAAACAATAGAGAGGCGACAATGAGCTCTAACCACCTAGATCACACCTTATGCTAGCAGGCATACTAGTGTAGCAATTTAGAGGAAGACTACTACATATCTGTTCATATAAAGAGCCATTTTCATGCTCCAAAGAGGAGGATGGAGTGAAAAGAGAGGCTGAAGAAGAAACCACAATCCTACTCTTTAGGACCCATCCCTCATACAACATGATTACCAAGGATCAATTCAAAGCAAATATTTGAATCTTAAACGATCGGGATGACAGACCCTAAACAATACAGGAATCAATTAATTCTAGGAACGATACAGAGTGAAAGAGTGGGGTTGAACCTGTAGCCAAAGCTGTGATTGAAGGCTCTCTCGTGATCCAGCAGTGACCATGCCCCCTGCAACTGGAGTAGGAGGTGCCTTCCCACGCACGGCAGGAAGTGTGGAAGAACCCGCAGCACCCCAGTAGTCCATACCAATATTTAAGTTTGTGGTGGGTCCAGGTACACCTGGAGCACCTGCTGTCATTGGAATGATGGACATAGTTTGGTTCACCATCATTGGAGGTGTATTTGGTCCTCCATTATGCAAAGCATGCCCAACTCCTCCGTTCTGAGCTGCTTTACAATAATAAAGGCATTGCAGAAATTATTCATTTGAAATCAAGGAGGAAAATGTAAAATCAGTGGCTGCAATTGAAAAAAAGTGCCTATATACAAACCTTCCAGAGAATCTTGTCTGGATCCTGGATTTGTTTGTGAGTCCTGCCAAAAATTAATTGAACGTGCGTCAAAGAGAAATCCATTCATAGAAGACATGGTCTTCATACTGCATGGAATAAATGGCTGACATGCATTTAGAAAGAAGAATTTAATAGTCAAACCTCCATAATAGTACATAAATAGTATATAAATAGTATTGGCATGCTGGGGCAAGAAACTTTTCCAAGTAAGATTCTTTGAACACTTAATAGGAAACCTTTGAATCATCCTACACACATCTAAAAGTGAATAGAAATTCTATATCATGTGCACCGTGAAACAGATCAAACCATGTGACTTTCCAGATCTACTGATCCAGATCATGAGAATATACGCGCACACATCATATGGGTAAACCTACATAAGTACAACTGAAATAACTGTATACTAAATTTCTTAAATTTGGAATACAATTTGATAGTAAAGACCTTCCCAAAAAAACAAAAAATCAAACATAGAAAGTGTATCAATTAATTACAACTACATAATAATTGCACATATAAGCACACACAGCAAAAGATACCACTACATGGCCCTGCATGCATATGCCCAAGTCCTACTCTTAAAAAAAGTCGGTCTCTTATTGTATTTATGTCATATGTAAGTCCTAGCATCAATCTTGTAATTCTTTTGACAGATACGTATGCAATAAAAAAAAGAGACATTGTTTCTAGTCAATTCATATTTGTTTATAATAAATATAGGTTAAGAGAGCTCTTCCTTGGCAAGAAGTAATTTTCCAATTTCTCACTTAAAATAAAAGCAAGTAACCAACATTTCAATTACAATTTTAATATTTCATTAGACTAAGAAACACATTGAATATATAAATTTGAAATTCAGTGTAGAAAACATATATTTAGTTATTACCCAGATTGGTTTAATACAGCCACCTCAGCTTGCAAGTTTTTATATCTAGTATTAGGTGTACTTTAGTATTTTTCTCTTGGGGAGAAAAAAAAAAAAAAAAAAAAAAAAAGAGGACTGTTGTAGGTAACTCCAAAACTTCAAGTTTGCTAACCATTGATATATAATGTCAGATACTTCTCTATTTTTCATTTGCCAATATTGCTTAAACAATAAAAATTAAATATCTTTTATATATTTCCAATGGAAGGGCCACAATGAAGGGACATGCTTACGTTAATAGTTTTTTTTTTTTTTTGGCGGTGGGTTTGTTTGAGCCTCTGCCTGGTCTGCCTACACTCATCATAGCCACCGAGGTAACCGATTATGAAATTATCTAAAACTTATCCTCAAGGTGGTGATTGAAGATGACATGCAGTCTACATTTAATTATGGGCCACACATCGGAAGTCATAAAACATAAGGCATCTAAGAGGGGGCCATGACACACCCCTGCCCCTTCCCAAGGGAAGATTTTCATAAGTAGTAAATCTCTCCTCAAGAATTTTCCAAACTTATATATTTGTACATGAAAAAAATGCCTTTTACTGATTGGCCCCTAAAAATAAATGAATATATTGACTAAAGCAAAGTTGTAAGTAAAATTATTTTTCTTCATTTTAGACTTGAAATAAATGGATTCTTTAAAATACTTTATCAAAATTGATATTAAAAAATTAATCATTTAACCTTTTACATATATTTAATTTGTTATACAGCACACAACACATTTTGGCCTCCCCAGGCTTTCCATTATAAATCAGTCCTTGTCTCAGTCCACCAAACTCCAACCTCAAAATCAAGAAGACCCCAAAGGGAGTTGAACTAAGAAGAACAACCAAAAGATATTGGAATGACCCTGCGGTTCCCATCATATAAACACTTCAAGAGTTGCCCACAAAAATAGAACACAACATATATCTCCACAACATAACATGTGCATGCATTAATTCCATTAATCTACAGTTACAGAAAGAAAGTGGACACGTTAAGAAGCGGTTGCCCAGTCAAATAAATAAAACAAGCCCAGTCAAAAAGATGCAACAAATTCTATGCTACCTACATTTTGAGAATCTGCATCACTTCCTTCGCTTGAACCTTCACTTGCACTTTCAGCACTGCATGTCAAAATAAACTACTAAATCACCAGCTTATTATACTGAGAAGAAACCAGCAATAGTCAATGGCTTAGGCAAAAAATTAAATTAAGCTATTAAAGCACCAGCTTATTATACTGAGAAGAAACCAGCAATAGTCAATAACTTGGGCAAAAAATTGAAGTAAGTAAAAGGCAGCAGGAGCATCTTAGCTCCAAGACAACTATGAAGGCGTGAACCTTATCAAATATAAAATAATGAGGACATAAAATTTTCTTTAATTTATATCAGAAGTATCTGCTTAATCAAATTTGAAAGGTTAATATGTTTGTCCAATGCCAAGATCAAATATCTGCTTGATGTGATGCATTTGACAAGCAAGAGAGTTAAGTTTTTTGTGGACTAGTAGACATTAAGTTATTGACTGGATAGTCCTTTGTGAGGTAACTACATATAATAAATATAAGAGAGCTGCAGGAATATTCTCCTACTAGAGATTAAATTTTGGGAAGTATATAAACAGTTACTTTACAGATTTTCATGGAGAAATCTTCATAATTTTGTGGAGAAGCATATTTGTAATTGGAACAAAAGATGAGCCCTGCCTGGTGAAAAATGGTAAAGGGTCATTAAAAGTTCTCTTAGGCAATAAGGTTTTATACATGTCACTCATGGGCAAGGAAGACATCGTAAAATAGGGTTATTAAGCGAAAAATGACAAGATCAGATCTGGTTATCAGTTTTGGGGATTCTTCAGCTTTAGAGGCTAAGACGGAGATAAGAAGTAAAATAAGAAAGTCCGTGCATCTTGCCTAATTCTTCTAGAAACCACACCAAGTTTTTGCATATGCATCAGACCAAGTATTAGATTAGCATCACACTAAACCATAAAAGCATATTTTCTTATCAAAATATTCCAGAAGTCAATAGTTATCAAACTGTAGCCATTACATTATTTTATGTTGTTAAACATTGAATTTCCTTCACGAACTTGGCTACGATTCCTAGATGTTAAGTCTACAACCTATCTAACAGCATAAAAAAACCAAATGTATGACTGCATCCAAGATCCATTAGCAACCCCTACAAACCATTTTAATACCCTGTTCCTATAGAGCTTTATAACCCTTAAACAAATAAAGCCAGATCAATATCTACCCAAAAAAAGAAAATTTGCCACATTGACCATGTCTAGTTGGGTCCCAACTTGAGATCCTGCAACCTTCCTATTTCGACCATTTTCTTAGATTTGCCTTTTCTCTGGCTCCTCGCATGGTGGGCATCAATAGTTGGGTTGCAAGAAGATAAGGCAGTGATGTGTAGATGCTTGTACAAGTTCATCTAATCTGGTGTAAACTTTTGTATTCTGTAAACAAGCAGAGTATAGCATATGTGGCATGTAAATTAATATGTATTTTCTGTTTTTATTTACAGTTTTCCTACTTAGGTAACAGGAAGTAAAAATTTACTCAGTTCCCTAATGTAGCTTTTTAATCCTAACACCTTCATTGAACCTCAAAAAGAGTGATTCAGAAAAATTGATTTCAATATTCTCAAGTCCAGAGCCACTGGAAAACAGTAATTACATAGTAGAAGCAAAAAGTATCCATGGAGCTGCTGCTGGAACTTATTTATGGCCATGCAATTCAGCAATAAACGTATCACCTTTTCGAATAGACTCCATTAGCAGATGCACCGCAAGTTTTACCAGGTTCACTGGTTTTGCCTGTAATCATATTTAAACTGCCTAAACTTCCCTTGGATCTCTTGATAGGCAGTTTCTCCTTTCCTTCGGACAACTTGCTATCTGGTTCTACACTGCCAGGTGTATTCCCCTGTGTGCAAATATAGACATAATTCTACAACAACTCTGAATGAATGATAACCAAGACCAACAGACCTAACAACAATACAATTAACATTAGCATTCGAGTAACTCACAGAAGCCTCAGCCACACCATTAGGGGAGGGCACTGCAAAAGGACTGAAAGGATAAGATCCCTGACCAAGTTGGAAAGCATACCAAGTTAGTTGCTTCCAAACAAAGAAGGTATGACGTAAGGAGCAGAACTGTACTAGAAAATGACAACAAACAAGATTACCGGAGGCATAGATGATGGGCATATATGCCACCATGGGGATACATAGCAACATACGGATGCGGTGGTGTACCATATGGCGGCATTATGTGCTGCATAATATAAATTTAAACCATCAAGAAAAATTCTGAGATTATAAAAAAAATAATTAAAAAAATTAGTAATCATCAGCCTTTGGTTTGCTGACATTTTCTATACAAATTAGAACTATGTTTCTAATCATTTCCAAAGAGAGCACAAAGTTGGAATCAGCTACCATTTACTATTTTATCTGAGTGTTTTAAGGTGTCAGTAAGATGGTTATAGCAAACTCAATGCATTTTCCTTCAAAGCCCTATTAACAAAGTTCAAAAAGTTGAACAAAAAAAAGGTACATGTCAAACATTTTCCTTTTGCTTTTCTGGTGTTTGGATGCTCAAATATTGAAAAGTAAGACAAAAAGGCATAATCATAAGGGTCTCACGGACAGACACTGAAGCAATAAACAAAAATAACACCACTTGGCCATTTCATTTTGTGACAAAGATTAGCAGAAAAAACACAGCAAATAATGCAGACCATGATATGTATGAAATGAGTCAGGAAAACTCAAAATGGTCTAGATCAGAAGTTACGATTATTGCATGTTCCAGAGACTCTATGATACAAGAACAAAAATCATTGTCACCTGCTCGAACAGGCCATTCTGACTCATTTATGCCACATATGACTATGGATAAACAAAGGAGAAAATGTTACGCAATACAAAAGGTGAATGGCTAAATTAGTATGAATAATGCAGATGAAAAGACAAAAAGAATGAAAGAGAATGTAAATAAATGTCTGGTGCAAAGTCAAGAATATCTGCAGTTCAGTCCAGTTGATGTGTATTCTAAAGAATCCAAGCTACAAGAGCAAAAATAGTATAGGCTATTGATTAGGCCATTCTCAACCACCTATGCAATTGACGATTACAGGTAAGAAAACAGAATGTTAGCCAACATACATTCATTATATCAATTTAATAGATCAACTAGTTGGTTTTGAGTCTTGATGAAACCCTGAAGAACAATTTATAGCTCCAACAAGCAAGGCATTGTTGAGATGACATTTCCACACAGCACACATATACATCCACATCATATAAAAAAGGATACAAATGGACCATGCTTATAGCCCATGGATCACCAAAAGTCTCATAACTCCCAAAAAAAAAAAAAAAAAGACAAATATCAAAATAATCCTATTTCCTAAAACAATGCTTAGATAGAGTAAAGGGGTTTTACAGGCTAAAGCCTGTAGAATTCCAAATGAATAAATTAGGAAATCACTAATTTTTTAATCTTCACTTTTGGGGTAGTGTCTTGCCATGCAAAATAGGATTAGGCTCCAAGTAAAAACATGAGAGTCCTCAAAATATTTTCTTTCATGTGAGAGAAAAATCCTGGTCAGTAAAAGCAATGTCCTAGACAGATGAATTTCAGCATTTGCATGCTCATTTCTGAGATCAGCTTCCACAATCTTTTGATCAACGTTTGTTTCCTTAATTTCCAAATGTTCATTTTTTTCTTCGATGCTTTTTCTTGTTCATTGATTTTCTTTAAAAAGTGGTTTTTAGCCCTTTTTCTTCATTTAGTTTCTAAATGTTGATTTAAACTCACAAACAAGCATACCTGAACTCCCCACATGTAGGGGTGAGCTTGAGGGCTTGATGCCAGGAACCCATGCGGAGGCATAGGAGAATAGGCCTGTTCCAAAAAAATTAATAATAATAATCTATAAAATATGAACACTGATGTCAAAAATTTTAATTTGAGCAAGAAAGAAAAAAAAGGAATAGCCTCAATAGTAGAACCTGAAAACTAGACCAGTCTGGATTAGCTGTGCCAGAAGGCGTAGACGAGGACTGCTCCTGAATTGGCACAAAAATGGTAAAACAAAATATATGTGCTCGTAAAATAAACACTGATCACCGAATCTCTCAAATGTACCTGCGGAGTCGGCGTCTTCGCCTCCTTTGCAGGTTTATCTTTCTCGCCACCGCCCATGATTCAACTGCACAGAGAACTCAAGAATTCCTCAAACCATCCTGCAAAATCCTAAAACCGTCTTACAGCGGTGCATTTGAACTAGCTCCAATGTCGTCCACAGAGGCAATCCAATTTTATCCTCTAACATGCTAAACAGGCAAGCAAATAATGCATGTATATTGTCCACATAACTATGTTAAGAATGCGGTGCCATTTATCCAGGCAGAGCTAATTTCCCAGCAGAGAGTAAATTCTCCACGGATCCTTCTATCCGGAAGAAGGTTTTATCAATCTGTAGTGGTAACAACTGATATGGGCCTGATGGCAGGGAAAAAAGAGAGAGACACAGAGAGAGAGGACGAAAAACCTAAGGAAAGCGAGAAACGACGAGTAGAAAATTTTAGACTCCTCGGATCAATTACCAGAGCTAAAGTGATCGCGGCAAAATCGAAATCAGAACCAGTAGACCCAGCTCAGCGCTAGCCCAGCTACTTGTAATACGACGCTGAGACAACGGCGAAGAGTCGCTGCGTCCTAGATCAATCCGACAGCAAATTCTAGGGCATATTTGAGTAATTCAAGCCGCTTTGCCAGGATTCGGCGAAAGTAACGAGAAGCGGAAGTCAAAATTTTCAGTGAGATCCTCCTTGCTTGGTGCCAGTCGCTAGAGGATTTGGAGCAAGAAACAAAACCCCAATTGTGCAACCTCCGCTTCGCTCAACTCAACTCATCGAGAAGATCGCACACTCTATGAACGGCTGAGATACGCTTCTGTATATTTTTTACACGCGACCAATGAGCTTCGTCGACCGAGGAAAGTCGACAATCGACAGAGTCGAGAGCCACGGGCGGGAGTGGACGCAATAAATCCGAAGCCTGGTGAGAGCATTTACGAGATTCTGCTGAATCCAAGTTTTTTATCTCCAGAATTCGCTAAACACACTGAATCCAAGTATAATCGAGGTTGCCAAATATTTGTGAAGTTAAGGTGTTGTTTGGCTATATATTAAAATTTATTTTTTAAATTTTTCAGTGTTTAAGCTTTTTCACTGTTAATTTTTGCTAAAAAATATAGAAATATAAAAAAATAAAAATTAATATTTTTTGATTCTATTAACCATTTCAGTTCTTCAATTTTTTAATTTTTTATTGCTCGTTCGTAATTTACATGCATGAATTTTTGACATTTACATAAAAACATTTAAGCAAACAATAAATAATAATTTTTTAAACAAACTAAATATAAAAAAAATATTTAAATTATTACATTTTTATCAAATAATGAAACTCAAAATTTTAAGGAATCAAACACTTTTTATTTAAATACTAAGAATCCAACTCTTCACTCTTTATTAGTCAAACTCAATTCAATTTAATCTATTTAATTTCATAACTGACGATTAACTCGTGTATAAATTAAATTTATTTATAATTTATTTTAATTTTGTTAGTAACCTTATTTTATGATTTATTAAGAAGTATGTAAAATACTTGTCTATGCATAATATTTTTAATCTAATAATTGGTTGATATATTTTTATTTATATAAAAGTATATTAATTTTAAATTTAACTTTGGAGTTTAGTTCTATTACATGTACATAGAGATATGAATGAATTAATCCACGATTTGCAAGAATTGAACTTGCTCAATTTTCTTGTCCAGCCTAAGCAATGTGTCATGGGATGATTTTTACCTAACTTATTATTTGAGCGAGTCATACTCACTTGCATAAAATGTTACGTCAGTATAAATATAAAAATATTTACACAAAATTTTATATTGTTGATTTAATTAAAATTAATAAATAAAATTAATTATAACAATTTTCCAGTATATTAATTTATAATTAACTTCTAATATATTATATTTTAATATTATGGATTAAGTTTTAACCCTAATTAGTGCCAATATGGTAATACATGGCTTTAATTAATCGAGGTTGAGGGCTTTGTGTAATCCTTAAACACTTCTCGAAGCGCTAATATTGCAATTACAAAATTGAATAGGGTGCATAGATAAGGTGGGTGGGTTATGGGAATGGACTTTATAACGTATTACATGAGGTTGGTCATTGAATTTGTTGAATCAAAAGTTAACTCCTTAGTTTCATATTCATTGCAAATCTAACTTTAATTTTATATTGATTTTAGTGAATTTTTTAATGTGAATATAGGTCTAAAATTTAACCAAAGTATAAATATATAACATGAAATGAAATATATATATATAATATAAATATTTATTAAAACCATTTAATTAGGTACAATATTAATAATATATGTATTAAAAAAGTTCGGTATTTAATTGAATAAAGGAATTTTTGTTTAGTACTTAAAATAACTGTACCAACCTTAATTTACTCAAAAAAAATTTACAGGATTTATTTTAAATTAAAATTTATATCCTCCCTTTTCCTACCTTGTGATTTAAGTCTCTAAGATATAAAAAATAATAATCTAATAACTATAGAAAAAAATACAATTTGTTATAAAAATATAAAAATTAATATAAAATAGTAAGGCAACATATTCTAAATATATAATGGCACAATTAATTTTAAATTTTTAAAATCAAATCAAATTAAAGCCTAAAATCTGCCATCAAGAGACCAAATCCAATTGATTCATGCGTCTGGCCCAAACCATGATCGCCCGTGCGGGGCAGTGCAGGTGCAGAAGGCCGACGGGGGGCTACGGGAGACTCGGTCGTTTACTGTTTGGACGGCGCCAATTTGAAGTTATGGTTGTGATTTTAAACCCAATTTTAAAAATTTTTATTTACTTGATCAATAATTCAAATCACATAATTTAAAATTTTAAATTAAAATTTTTAAAATTTAGAGTCAACTTTAATAAGTGTTTTATAATCAACACCATAGTTATTCAATTTTCCTCTGACCTCACTAAGTATTTTGATTACCTATACCAAATACTAGTTAATCATCAAAACTTGGACTATCATGGTCTAACATCCAAAAGCATCATAGATCACTGTGGTCAACCTTATTATTGTTGTATGAAGTTTGTCGACAATCCTCGTTTCTAGCATCACCAAACCATGTTGAGAATCTTAGCCTAAAACTTACAAAAACATGTAACCTCCAATATCACCATTGTAGCCCTGATAATAGTGTTGTTACCCCCTGATGAGTAGTCATTCATCTATCCTCTCAATGTACAATTTAAGTTGATTTCTCAAATCAAATTTCAAACACAGTGGTGGTAGATCGTGATTTATTCAAGTTGATCACCGGCAGACATCAACCGTGGAGCATTGAAACTTCATACATCGTTGTATCTCATTAAAATTAGTTATTTTAAATTATAATCTAATTAAGTATAAAACATGAGAGTCGATAAAAAAATTCTAGTCATCAATGGCAATATCAAATCTAACTAAGAAAAATTATCATACACCAGTCATTTTATTGTTTTTATTATAATCTGTCTTAAATTTTGTCAAATCTCATGTAATGGGTAATGTGCAATATATGACTGATGTTCAATTTTTAGGTCAAAAATATTAAAATAATTTTTACAAAATATAGCTCACAAACTTCATCATCTAAACAATTTTATAGTTATTATAATTTAAAAAAAAATTTGAGTTAACTACAAAATTTGACTTAAAGTCAAATTATTGTAGAAAGTATATAAAAAAATAACTTAAAAAAAAGTAAACAATGATTTGTATAATAGTCAAGAACAACATATGAGAAAATAATTTAAATAGATTTGCTAAATTAAGAGAAAAAGAAAATTAGAGTGTTAGGCATATTAAACTTGTGTTTGTACATTATGATAAAAATATAGAAAATTTGAAAAATCTATTTAAAAGTTTTATTAGTCTTAAGAAAAAAGTGAAAAGGGAGAGATATAGAAAAATAAGAATTTTTGGTAGCATAATCTTCCCAAGCTTCAATTTTTTTTTACCATCCTCGATAATCATGATAAATTAAAAAAACAATTCTTATTCTTATTATTTTTTTTTCAGACCAAACACTCCCTAAGAGTGATCCAATCAATGATGAGCAAAACAGTTCTGGTAAGAAAAAAAAAAAGAAAAAAAAGAGAGCGAGATAGTAAAAAGAGGGTTTTGATTTATATATATATATATATATATATATATATATATAAGGGTTGTTTGGGTCTGCCCCCTCCTTTGCACCCGAGAAGGGAAATAGAAAAAAGCTTCCTGTTCCACGGTCGGCAGATACCGCCGTCCTGGAACTCCCGACCTCCTTCCGTCCCGCTCTGGTAAAAAATGGAGGAAAAGCCCACTATAGGGCGAGAAGCGGCCCTCCGTCTCAAAGCCCTTGCGGAGCAGAAATACAATTCCTTAAACCTCAACTCCGCCCTCAAACTCGCCAAGAAGGCCCACCGTCTCTGCCCCAACCTCGATGGCCTCTCCGAACTCCTGGCTGCCTTCCAAATTCTCCAAGTCGCCGCCAAACTCTCCGCCATCGACGACGCGACACCGGACTGGTACAAGATCCTCCAGGTCGAACCTTTCTCGCCAATTAACACTATTAGGAAACAGTACAAGAAACTCGCCCTAATTCTTCATCCCGACAAAAATCCCTTCGCTGCTTCTGAAGAGGCCTTCAAGCTCGTTGGTGAAGCGTTTCGGGTGTTCTCGGATAGGGTTCAGCGGAAAGAGTATGATATGAAACTGAGAGTCGCTTTACAATCGAAGGCTACGGAGGGAAGCGCGGGAGGGAGTGAAGTGAATGCAGACACGTTTTTGACAGCGTGTTCGAGCTGCGGGTCATTGCATAAGTTCGACAAGAAGTATTCGGGGCATAATTTGATGTGTCCGAATTGTAAGAAGAGCTTTAACGCCGTGGAGGCGTCAGAACTAGACGTGATTGGAACTAGGTCTAGTGCTAGGATCAGGGGTAAGGGTGATAAGGAGCCAGGATGTGTACAATTGAAGCGGAAAACTAGTAGTTCTGGAGAAGTATCGAAAAGTTCAAGGCCAAATCAGAGGTCAAAAAGTGTTGAGTTGAATACTGAACCGACTGTTGGTAGTGCAGTGTCTCAAAGGTTAAGGTCTAAGAGGGTTGATGGATCGAAAATTTTGGATAAGAAAGGGGAAAGGGCTGGTGGGGTCAACGTACCGGAGAAATCAAAGCCAAAGAGTGTAAAAGTTGAAGAAGAATCAATGACTTTGGCTGAAATGAAAATGTTAGCAAAACGAAATGTGCCTGAAGAAAATATTAGGCCCAGTACAAAGGGAAAAAGGAGAGAAAACGAGAAGGGGAGTGAGAAGGTGAACGAGAAGGAGAGAGATGGTGCTGCAAAGGACGGGATTATTGTGTATGTGAGGCGCAAGTATCTGAATGGTGGAAATGCAGAAATTGAGAAACCTAGAAGGGCGTTGAGAAGTATGGATTCAAAGAAGATAGCAGTTGAGGATTCAGAAATTGAGAAACATGAAAATGCATTGAAAGGTACAGATTCGGGTAAAATGGCAGTTGTTGATTCGGACTTCTATGATTTTGACAGAGACAGAGAGGAAAGGAGTTTTAAGAAAGGGCAGATTTGGGCTATATATGATGACGATGATGGAATGCCAAGGCACTATGGCTTGATTGATGAAGTCAATTTGGCCAGTCGATTTGAGTTGCAGATGAGTTGGTTAGACCTTCAAAGTAATGGAGACCAGTTGTTGATTTGTCAGGAGAAAATGGGAATTCATATTTCTTGCGGGAGATTTAAAGTTGCGAAGAAGACTTCAATTAATTCCGTAAATATATTTTCTCATCTTGTGGATGCTGAAAGAGTGGCAAGAGAAGTATATTGGATTTATCCAAGAAAGGGTTCTATATGGGCACTTTATGATGAAAATACTTTGGGAAATGGAGGAAATAATACCAAGGGTAAAGATAAAAGAAGCTATGACATAGTTGTGCTTTTGACAAGTTACAGTGAGATACATGGGTTAAGCATGGCTTACCTTGAGAAGGTTGATGGATTCAAAACAGTATTTAAGAGACGAGAGATTGGTTGTCGTGCTGTCAGATGGCTTGAAAAAGACAATGTCTGGTTGTTTTCTCATCAGATTCCAGCGAGGAAGCTTTCTGGCAAAGAGGCCTCAGACCTGTCAAAAGACTGTTGGGAACTTGATCCAGCCTCCCTTCCTGCTGAACTGCTTTCCGTTGAATGACACAAACCAGACCACGTCTGCTTGTTTGGTCTGTGTTCTACGTAAAACATATTTAAAGAAAATCTTTTTCGCACTTCAGATGGAAACACTGATCTGCAATCAATGCTTTACGATCATGTTCTCCCCCCTCCTTATCATTAAATTGAATTGAGAAAAATAGCAATTCTTGTACATGGTGAGAATGGGTATATTAGGAGAGAATGTAATAATAATTGACGTCCAGGTTGCCTATGAAACTTTAGTTTATGCAGTGAATGCTTTTATTTGAGAATGCATCTGAAAAGTAACATAGAAGACATCCTCATTGAGAGGAACCTTAGTTCTTTGCCAGTGAAACTTTGGAAACACATATCTTGAAGGATATTTGTGTTCTTTGATGTCTACAGTTTGTTTTTGAACTTGAATATAAGTTTGAAGTATAACTCTTGTTTTTTATATAACATAGGGATGTGTCTGAGTTGCTAATGTTTGTTAGAATGCTTTCTACTTAGTTGTTATGTGCCTAACGGCTGCATTGTATTTGTTTACTTTACTTTATTTCCAGACTGTCTATTTTTGTTCATGCCTTGTTATAAACTATGTGATACAAGTGTTGTGTTTAATTGAAAAGAAGTTGCAGTTTTGCAGAGCCAATGTAAAGTAAAACTAATCCTCCCTTGGATTAGATTGATGAGTTATTTACATTTTCTTTAGCTTTAACTTTATAAGTTGAACCCCCCCCCCCCCCCCCCCCAAAAAAAAAAAAAAAGCGCGCACACACCCCAAATCTTCCATATGCTTGTTCATGCATGGGAAAGAATGCAGTTATTGCCGACCAACTATAACACAAATTAGCGTAGAAGGGAAAACAATAATTGAGAATTCAACAATAGAAGTATGAAACAGAATAATATATTACAAAGCAAATTTACCAAATCAAGCATTGGGTGGTCCTTCTAATGTGAAGTTTTAATATATTTTATACTTGTACATTGAAAAAAAAAAAAAAAAAAAATCTAACACATGGCTAATGGTAGCCTTGCTTATGCAAGACATGCCATGCTTAGAACCAGGAGCAACGGGCATGAGCATATCAATTAGTCAAGTGAAGTAGCTTACTCACCTGCACATTTCAATCTGAGACAAGTCTCTCTGATGCTTGCAACTATTGCCTAATCAATGAGTAGGAATTTCATGGTCTCATCTCCTTATTTTCCATTACTATTGATTGACCCTGCTGCTAATTAATTGTAGATACGACTGTTGTCCTCTTGTTACATTGATTTACAATATCTACAAGAAGAACCAGCTGTTAGAGCCTTAAACGCCTCAAAATCTGCTGAATGCCCGGTGGCCTAAAGCCTTGTGTTTTCTTTTGTTACCTTTCTTCTTTATTGGCAGTTAATTATAATAGTGCCCACAGCTTTGTTTCTATTTCTCTCCTCTCTAGTCCTGTGAATTATTTGACTCACTTTTCGGGAATGAAGTACAATAATAAGAAAAGGAAAAAGGTCATAGCAACTTTTTCTTCTTGTTTCCCCCATTTTTTCTGATGTCCGGTACAATGGTTTGTGGTGCTCCTGCTGGGATGTCTTGAAGGACAAGAAATAGTTGGACCACTTGCAGTCAGGGATGGTTGGCAATCATTACAGCTGGAGGTATCTACTCTCTTGTCCGCAGAATCTGATTTCAACTTTGTAAAATTGGGAGCTCATAGCACTTGTAGAGGAACCAAAGGCACAGAATGCACACCACAGCTTGCTATTGTGGTGAAATGGCAAATTTTATCTGTAAGTTGGCTGTATCATGCAAGCACTTGGTGGAAAATAACAGTTGTTGTGGGCAGCCACAGCCATCCTCGAAGTTGTTATGTTGCAGGATTTTTAAAGGATGAAGCTCCTGTTATGTGGATGTGAATGAAATGGATTCTTAGACCTTGCTACTTCTGAGTTCTGACCTTCAATGAACTGCTTACAGAGAGCTTTTAAGTTGGTTTGTTTATGCAGATCTGAACAAAGTGCTATTCTTAAGACTTTGCTACTTCTGAGTTCTGACCCTACGACGAAGTGCTTACAGAGAGCATTTAAATTGGTTGGTTGTGCATTGTTTAGATGATGTCGTGGTGCATGCCTGAGATGTATAGGCTGTCCATAAATGAAATTTTCTTCTTGCACGAGAAACAGGGGAGAGAATTTCTCAAGAAGTAGAAAGGAGAAGGCTATTTTTGTGCGTAACCAACCAGATTCAGCTGGCATTTTCAGAGCATTAGGTGATTAGGTAACTGCTATTTTACAATGGGGGAGTTTTATTTACATTATATGTTTTCCTCTGTCCATTTTTTGCAGGGGCCTGCTTGATTATTCTAAAATGTCAAATTTGACAATGTGCCTTCATTGACACCCAAATGAATGAAGCATATATTTGCTGCACAGTTGGTTGGAGGTTGAATAATGTTTTGAAATGTTGCTAGTACGCTGCAAGCCTTTTGCAATTAATACTCTGGTCATATGCATCAAAGGCTGGCTTAACTTTAAGCATCTTCTCATGATGTTTCCTGTGATTTTAGTAGTCTCTACTTTGTCTATGTTGTGTATCTATTGCTGATGTGTCATTGAAAAGGTTTAATCTGCTGAATAAAACAATAATAGATTTACTTACCAAATGATCCCCGTGATATTGTTGCTGAATTATGTTTTTGTGGCTTCTGTAACCTATTTGGCTTACTTGTTTAAAATTTGAGTTTTTATTTACCTTAAGTTGAGAACTAGAGTATTGAAGTCCTCAATGCTTGAATATAACAGTTATAAGAAGCTTAGGGTCTAAATGATCTATGTGGAAAACTATAATTTAAAATTGTGGCTAGTCTTGGATTATGCATTGTTTCTTTAGAAGGACAACCAATTTACATTATATATGTGTTTGTATAATAAATTTTGAAGTTCAAGATGGAGCTTTAGACAGGCTCCAAGGTATGATCTTTTTGGAAAGGCTCATACTCCTGGCCTTGAAGTAGGAAGTTTTGTTGGAATTTGCCAGAGTTATGGCATGCAAATTCTGTTTCCCATAGTGAAACCTCTAGCCAATTGACATGAATGAAATCATTTAGTCTTTTCCTTTGCTTATATTCTAACCATTGTTGTTGCAGTTGTCGAGGAAGAGAATGATTACTGGGAAGATTATAGGAGTCTTGCCATGAGGAGTCATGCTAATTGGACCGAGGCCTGGAAATAAACACTAGTAGTGAACTTGTTCATCTGTCTCTGGGTATTGATCCTCCTCGGGACAAATTTTACCTGAACTAGCTGAAGGTTTGTTGAATGAAACAAGTTTTGGGACTTTTTAATGGAATAAGTTAAACCATTAACGGACAAATTGGGACTTGGGCTCTAACTATTTTGTAGTTGCATTTTTTCTTTTTTTTTTTAAGGGAATTTAGTGGATAGGTTTTAATTTCCTTCTTCCCCACAAAATCTCTATTTGACAAATCTTGGAGTAGATATGGGTTTCCTGAATAAGGTTTTAATGTAAAAAGAAAACCATCAGTTAATTTGTTAATAAATCTAAGTAAGGAAACATTTCCCCTTTTCAGTCTTGATGCCTGCAACAGCATTGGCCAGAGCCATTCACAATTTTACATTCTCACTTAAATTGCGTGCACAATTTCTATTTTAGCAAAAGATTTTGCATAGATTGCCATCGATCACTGAACCTCAGCTTAGCATTTTACTCCCCTCTCCTGTCACCCGGCTCGCAGCGGCTTTAAGAGGAATAGTTGATACAGAAACTAAGAATTTATTTTTGAGAAATAGTTAAAAAATATTGAACGTTAAGAATATTTATAAATTTGGTTAAAATTTTTAAACATATTTTTTATTTTTTTCTTTTGAAATTAAAAAAATATTTTCTCTGAGGAAAAAAAAAAGGGAAAGTTAACAAAAACAGAAACATTTTGATTTAATCTGTATATTACGTTATTTTATAAATAGTTTTTCATGAAAAGATGTCCAGCCCGAGAAGGGGCGAGCGGAAGCCAGGAGACAGAATTTTTGACGGCAACGTTTAGGGGTTTATTTAGTTTCCTAGTTTCTTCAGGTGCGAGAGATTACTTTTGATTTACCAGTAGTAGCAGAAAGAACCCCTCCCCTTCCATCGCGGATTATTATCCCAAAGAGAAGATCTTCCCTTTAAAGGTTTGGCCCCGGAGCCGATTTCTTATTATCGTATCCTCACATCTCTACTGTTTATCGGTAATGGGTTACGAGAACGATCCGTAAGTTTCCTTTCCCTCATACATGATTTTTTATGTTTCCTAGAAATTCTAGGATTGGAGCTTCTGATTACCAATTGATTGGGGCTGATCTTCAGGTATCTCGATGAAGATGGCGAACCCTTGATGACCTTAGACGAAATTCCATCCGATCAGGGAGAGGACGGTCAAAATCTCTTCGATGACAACCTCGACGACGAAGACGAAGGGGATTGGCGACGCAGAGAGCGGTCGCCGACTCCAGTGTATAACGAGGGCCGATACAAAATCGAAGCCTCGGAAGCGTCTCGTTAAGAAGAGCGGTAAAGAGAGCACTCCGATTTCGGGATCGCGGACGATTATGAGGAGGACGGACGTTGGCGATATTGTGAGGGGCGACTCGGACTATGACAGTGGGGGTGGGAAGAGGAGAAACTCCCGAAGGATGACCGTGGAAGTAGGAAGAAGAGAAGAAGTCGACCTTGGAGAGAAGAGAGAGGCATGGTGGGGACAAAGGTGGGTCCAAGCTTAAGGTGAAGAAGGTGGGTTCTTTAGGGCGGAGGTCTAGGGATCACGAGGGTGATGCTGAGGTGAAGGAAATGTGGGACACTATTGCAGGAGGTGACTCCGAGGTAACTTTTTTCAGTCCAAAGTTCTTCTCTATTGAGTTTGTATTCTGAGGCTACTTACACCAAAATAAGGAGTTTTTCTTTGTAGATGTCTGATTGCTTTAGTTGTTCGGAATTGTTTCCATTAATAAAGTGTTGTTGTTTAA